TCGAAATTCTCATCGGTGGCGCCATGAATTAGGAGGAGTCCGCTCGGTGGACATCGCCGGCGGTATCTTTGCTCGATGTCAATCAGCGTTCGATAATATGGAGAAGAGGTAGTTGTGAATTCGTTGTCGCTTTGTCATATTCGGCAGGCCGATTCGCCAGGAATTTTTGAGGTGCCGCCGTCGCCGACGATGCGTGCGAAAACTTGTTGCAGATGGAGATCGGAGAGGGTTGTAACATTTTATTTGGAATTTCTTGCGGGCGAGTGATTACCGTCAGCTTCTCCGCCGTCACTTTGTGCTTGTTTACTCGATCGTCTCGACGGTACCTGTCTCGCGTATTTTCGAAGCATGAATATTTCGCCTTGCCTGGAGGAGACACATTCGGCGCACCGACGATAAGGAAAATCCCGCGGAGAAGGACCTCCTGTCATCGGATTGTGCGCGAATCGTAATTTTCCCCCGTTTCTCGCGAAAACCGCTCTCGTTGTCATTTTCTTTTGCGTTTACATCTCGCTTCTTATCTCGAGATACGATATCTCGCGCGGCATCCCCGCGCTCCCGTGGCGCTCCTTATCAATCGCCATGCGAGGCATTGATAATTGCTCACGCACGTCTTGGATCGTCGTATCTCCTCCCCGATGCAGTGGTTCATCGTCCGCGGAATATCACCACCGGCTTTTCAAATGACCGCGTGGCGCGGCTTCTGTCCCGAGCTAGAGAGGTCGCGAGAGAACTTGGCCCTGCTCTCTCGAGCTCACGTCCCACGTGGCGAAAGATTCGCCAGTCGAATATCCTTGTGCGAGTGATCGCCACGCGAGTGATACCGTTATTCGTTCCCGCGCACGATAATCAGTGAGTCACGACTTCGGACGACGTCGGACGATGATCCGTTGCGTCGTCGCCGTCCCCTGTGATTTTCCGTCGTTGTCGAACGCTGCTGCATCGGGATTCGCACGACCCTGACGAGTCTCTCCGAGTAGTTGTCGAGATCCGACGTAGTCGCGGCGACGAGTCCTCCTTGTCGTCGCTCTCGCGTGGACGTCGCACTCGCGAAGACTGATCCGGTCGCGAGGCTTTCGCGGGTTCCTTCATCGGCTCATTCCAACTACGTGGACTCTGATAAAGCGCATCACCCTATTCGGCTGAATAGGTCCGCGTCGAGCAGGGTGCGCACAAGTTCGCAGAGTGTGACGCATTTGGCAGCGAACGAGCGTGTTTGCTTCTCGCGCGAGATCGGCGCGGACGTCGCGATTTCCTCTTTGCGACCTCGCGCATTCCTCGTGGAGCCGACGCGGTTGTGTGCGGGTTACTCTCGAAAAAGTGTTGAGTGCGGGTTGCCGTTGAACGCGTCGGTCGCGCGATATCCTGGAAATTTCCCGAAAGCATCGCGAGACTGCCGGCGCAATATCGCATACTCGATTCGCCGGTGAGAAGCGCTATAAAGGCGAGGTAAAAGCCGCGAGTGAAAGGGGGGGATCAAGATTCGTTGTGATCGCGCTAACACGAAGCGCTAACGGTATCACACACGCCGATAAGATGATCGTTTGCGCGTCGAATCGGACTCGCGCGTCGCGCGTGTTCGCGATCGAAGCTGCCGCGCTGCCGGTTCCGCCTCATCGTGCTTCGTCGCATCGTTCCCCGTACTCAAGATGACACGGACCTGCGTCCTGTGAAGAGAGCGACGCAGGATAAAATCGCAGGGAAACGTGCAGGAGTTGGAAAAGCGAGCGAAAGGGAACGAGCGCCTGTTGCCGCGGCACGGCACATGTCGATCATCTGCGAGTCGCAGATTAGACGCGCTCGTGGTGCCTCCTCGTGGTGACTGGATGATCGCGAATGTTTCTTATCGTAGAAGGATCGGAGCCACTATTAGCTAGTCGTCCGGACAATTAGCGTTCGCGACAGGTCCGAGCATGAGCGCGTCGTCCGACGTGGATTGTAATTCCATGGAATATACAAACGAGAGATCGAATCTATTGAGCGCCAGCGGGCGAAATGCGTCCGTCTCGTCCTTGCCATCGCGAGGATCCTACAAGACCTACGGATCCTTCTCGTTCTGGAACAGAAGCAAGCAGGTAGACACGATACATGTGATGATTTCTGGCTCGCTTAGAATTTTAGCCGCAACGTGCTTTTCGTCGTACGTACTCTTTGCCGCAGATTGCAGAACGTGAAATTTCGGAAACATCTTCGGCAGATTTTTCTCCCAAATTTCTCGGACGAGTCATCGAGACGCTGAATAATCGCGTGACTCGACTGACGTCGTCACTCGATATCGCGAGCCACTTTGGGATTTTGGCGATTTGGGGATTTGACGCGTGCGCGCAAGGAGATGCCCCGGCTTTTCTAATTGCCGATCTCCGGGCTGATGCCCGCACCGACGACCGGTTGTTAGCATTGGGCTTCATGAATGAAGCTCTCGTCGTTCCCCTTCATCTCGTGCTACGTGAAGCGTGCCAAGATTTCGTCAGGATAAACTACACGAGAGCACGAGTTGTGACGCCGATCCAACGTCGAGCGCTTACTGTCGCGAGTCCCGCGGAACGTCGTTCTATAAAACGAAATGCCTATTCCGGCCGCTCGCGCGGGATTTATTAGCTCGCCTTCGTCGTCGTCGTCGTCGTCGTCTTGTTTAATCAGATGGCGAAGTTCAACTTGCGCCGAGCGTAAACGCGCGGGTCTTATCGCCGTGCAATTTGGCGCGATAGTGTTGTTAGCTCGATAGCATTTCTCCGCGTGCGCGTGCTCGCGGGTGACGCTGTTTTGCCGAACGACGTCGTTTCCTTTTATGAGACCCAGTAAAGTTCCGCGTACGCAATTGATTAGTTTACCGAGGGCTTTAATTGGCCTGGATTAGCGCGAGAACTAACCGCTGTAGAGCGAGCATCTAAGAGCTATTCGTACAGAGTGTCTCCGAAATATCGAGCTCGAGACTTCCTCGCGAGTGTCTCCGCTCGTCGATGCTTTCTGTTTCTCCTCTAGTCTGGTTTATCTACGGATATTTGTATTAATTCGCATTGTTTTATCCTCCATCCTTCTGTGATACAGCAATTGTGACGTACCGATGCGAGAGAAAATTCACAACGCCCATTATCCTGCGTTTTGACAACTTGCCAAAGAAGATACTTCGAAGAAAATTCGCACGAATAAATCCTGCGCATCTCGCGATCATGTAATTCGCGCGCGAACATTTGCCGTCGACGAATCGAACGACTGCTGCGACGGATCTCAGGAGATTTTCACGTGAAAATCAGCCTCTTGATTCTCCCGATGCTCTTCTTGCACTCGACGAGTCGTCACTTCTTTTCTTCCTTCTCAAGGCACGACGTTCCCTCGATTGCGCTTTGACGCTTCCGTTAATCATTTTGACCCATTTTCCCGACGAATAATCGAGCCCCACGACGCAGCCCTGGAATATTTGCCCGAGAGATTCCGCGTTGATGGCGCACACGAGCTGCTCTGCTCGCAGGATCTTGACGACTTGATGAATTCGCGAAACTATTTACGCAATGTGTCTAGCCGGTCTGCCGCGAGACCAATTGTGAATTGGCGCGCGCAATTAAATTTCCCGGCGATCGATCGGCCGCGCATATTCGCGCGCGCCTTTTCAACCGAGCTTTTCAAACCGGGTCACCGGATACGCCGCGGCGGCGAGGAAGACAAAGTCGCAATTTGGCCGGCGCGTCCGCTTATCGCGGCTCGCTAATTGCTCTATCAAATCCGCCGGCACCGCCGAATCCACACAGCCTGCAGCCGGGCGGGATTAATTGCGGACGATTGCAAAGCCTGCGATTATTGCACACACACTCGTCGTGCCGCGAATCGCGTTATCGCGAGTCAGTGACGTCGGTGGATGCCGTATTCCTCTCTCGTCGTTATTATCTGAGAAAAAACATCTCCGTGGCGACCGGAACCCCGTTTCGCGCGGATTCCGAGCAATGACGCGCAACACTTCGCACGCGTGTAACACGAGCGGCGACGGAGGCGTGCGGAGCAAAACATATTTTCATTCGCCGTGGCGTCGTGCCGCGCGCGCGGCTACGCATTTGCGATGTTGAAAACACCCAATGGAACTCACACTTGGCGCCTCTTCAACTCAATTTTGAAAGAAAATCAAATTCCGGCCATTTGTGTCTGGCCACCTGGCGGACTTTCATAACTGGCAGAGCCCCTCCACCTTTACGAGAATTCCGAGAATCTTGTTTTACGTCTCTTCTGTACAAGATGTTTTTCAGAGCTTTCAGAAAAATGCTTTTTCGCCGCTCTCCTTTTTCCGACAAGAAGCTCCGGCATTGTCGACCTTCTGATTCAATTCTGAAATTCGTGCTCATAGTACTCTCGATTTCCTCTCATACTCTCCGATCACATCCTTTGTTCTCGCGATCGAGGTGAAATCGATGTCGCTCCTTTCAGCGTTCGCGAAGGTACGATGTTATTCCGGCGTTCCAATACCTGTGCTCGCGATAACTCAATCCCGATTCAATTAAATTCCGCGTCTGATAGACCTTTTTCTCGGGCCTTCTACTATTTCTCGGTGTCGTATTGAAATGATCACGAAATAACGAGGAGCGATTTCTAATCGGGGCGAGCTTACGACACTGACGACGCGCAGGGTGCGTCGCAGCACGCGTATATGATTCACGGACTGTGTGTGTGTGTGTGTGTGTGTGTGTGTGTGTGTGCGCGCGTATGTATACGAGCTTAGATAGATCCCATCGCGATATATATAAATGTCGCACGATGTTCTCGTACGATTTGTGCCGGTGTCTGCCTCCGGGAATACTCGCGATCGCGAGTATCCGACCGATTTTCCGCGGTATATTGCGTTCTCAAGTAACGACGACGAACTGCGAGGAAGTCGCACGAACGTCGAGCAACCGTACGACGCAGAGACGAGAATTGATCGCACCTGGGGAACCATCAGGGGATGACCGCGCGAAATCTGGAAAAGATGCTCAGACTGACCAACCTGTCGAGGGTCCGTTTCTTTTTTCTCTCAGTGTATTTGTTAATAACAATCGGAGCAGTTCCGATTTCTTTGGCGACGACCGCGACTGAGGATGGAAGAGCCGTCATCTAACCGAGATTTCGATGCCGGAATATCGCACGAATGTGATTTCCGCATACGTGGCTGTTTTTTTGACACGTGGCATTGACGAACTTCTCCTCCTCGTGTGGTCGTAGTATGGGGAAGTAAAATAAGATTACTCCACGATCTCGAGTATTAATTTTCCGCAAGTCGGTCGATTACGAGATAGCGGGTTTTGCTTTTCCCTTTTTTTATCCTTCAGTTATTCAGAAACGTCTGTTTACTTGTTTCAAAAGTCATGCGTTGTATCCGGAAGTTGCAGGTATCGTATTTCGCGAGATACTCCCACGACACTCACGCGAAATGTTTGCATATTTATTTCCTAATTAATCGTAATTTGGCAGCTTGTATTGTATGAGCATCCGGTTGACCAACTTTGAAGCTTCAAAGAACATGAGAATCCGTGTGCACGCACGTGTATACCGCTACCAGGCTGAAGTGAAGGCAGTCCTCCATTTTCGCGCTGAGTAGACAATCAGGAGAGAATGCCATGCAGAAGGCCAAGGACGAGAGCCTTAAGATCACGACGGCTTTCTTTCGAGTCAGCTTCGACGAAGGCAACCAAGACAATGACAACGATGACGACGATGACAAAGAGAAAGAAAATGAAGCCTCGCGAACGAAAGAATCGGAGGAAACCGTCTCATGGTCGCTTCCGCCTCAAGAAACCGAGAGGAGGCCGAGTGACCCAGAAGAGAAAAAAGTTTCCTCAAGCCTGGCAGTTTCGTCAAGCTCAGCCGTGTCCGATTCCGAGCCTGCAGCTTTCATTTCGTACGTAAAAAGCTGCTCTGTCAAAAGTTCGCCCGCGAGCTTCGTTTCCACTCCCGGAGCTTCGTCGAGTTCGAGCAACGTGGCGGAAGACGCGACGGAAGGACACGACGGAGTTAGCAGCGACAAGTTAGTGCCTCCGATGATTGGAACGCGAAGACTTACGGTGCCGGTGGTGGATTCGGACAGGGTCTTCTCCGTGTACAATCGTCAACGTTCGCTCGCGCCAGAACCATCCGCCAGGCTTCGCTCCTTCTCGTCGACCAACGAGGATCACCCGAGCTCGATCATGACGAGCCAGTCGAGACGCTCTCACTTGTCGTCGAGCTTGCTCGAGGTTCCTCGTGAGACTTCGGGCTCCCTTGGTCGCCTCTCTTCGTCCGACTCGGAGAAGAGGCCGACGATTGCTGAGAACTCGGTCATCGACGAGGAAACGGCGGATACGCCGACAAGCGTTGTTGTCGAAGACGCTCCCGACGAGAGATCCGGCAAGAGCGGTACTCGTAGGCTGACGTTGCCGATGACGAGCTCCGATCTCAGCCGGTCCACGTTTCACGAGGATCCGGCGAAGAGGTCGCCGACCTTCGAGGACATCGTGGCCGGCACCAGCGTGAACCCGATCCGGAAGTTCAGCATCGCGAACGCGGCGATCTGCTCGAGCCTGGCGCCGAGTCTGCTCGGCGCTGTCTCGGGAGTACCGAGCAACCTGCTGCCGAACGGAAACGGCCGGAGCAGCGATTACCTCAGCCGCAGCGTGATGACCTTGTCGAACCTGTCGACCACCTCGACCGTCACCAGCGACGACACCTCCATAGGCAGGACCGGGCGTAGGCTACGACAGCTTCTGCGTCTTCATATATCCGAGCAGCTGCCCGGCGCGACCTGGCATGGCGCCGAGGACTGCCATCATCATCTCCATCATCATCAGCAACAACAGCACGATCATCATCATCATCATCACCATCACCATGTATTCCCGCATATTCACGTACCCACCATCACTTTCACGGCGCCGGCCAACGACGGCACCGGCCGCAAGTTCAACTTCGCCATACGAAGGCACTCGCAGGCGGTTAGTTGGTCAGCACGCACGCACCGGACGCACGCACGTCGTTTCTACGTTTTTCCTTGGTGTTTCTCTCTACGTTAACCTCGCGCGGAAGAAGAGCAAGGGAGAGAGTCATCGTCTGGCCAAGACAAGCCATCTCTCAGCTCGAGCGCAAAAGCCGAAACGACGTTTCGTTCTGATCGTCGCGTCGCGCGTGTGTGAGGGATCATCGTTTACGCTAATATTTATCGACCTTGAAGCTCGGAGGATCCGCCCGATTCTTCTTCTGGCTCCGCCGATCTGCCGGTCGAAAGACCGGGTCGGTTGTTGAACGCAGTTAGTTTTTATGTTTTATGTTTACCGTCAAGCTGTCCGTCGTCGGACGGTTCTCTCAGTTTGATTGGCTTCCAAGCGGAGGTTCTCCGACGAGTCGCGCGAGAGAATCTTCCAACTGCAGATCAGTCCGTCGGAACGTGTCACGTTGGCCAGGCATTGATTCGAGTGTCTCTGTGAAAACGATTGCTGGCTGAAAAGGCCGCGATTAGACGCGTGTGCACGTACACGGACGCGCGTTTCTACGAGAAACTCGATTAATTCCAGAGTGTACTGGCACACGCTCTGGTCGGGATGATTTACGCTTCGAGCTGGCGCACGGCTGATTAAGATCGAACCGAGTCGAAACGAGCCGAGAAATGACACGACGACACCCGTCGCGGACAATAAAACGTTAATTTGTCGCGATTACGTTGCTGCCGATGAACATGGACGTCTTCGAGGCAGCCTTTGTTTTATCGTGATTGTCGTTTACAGCTGAGCTAATCTGCGAATAACGACTGATATGTCACGGCCGATGATCTAATAATTATCTCAAGCAACAGTCGACTTGCGTCTGTTGGCACGCGTTATTCTATTGATACTGATTGAACAACTCTTTCGTGGAGGGTATTCAGGCGAATGGTTGACAGTCGGAGACTGTCACTCGTCATAATTCACGTTTACGTTACTTCGACGCTTGATAGTTTTAGTTTTAGAGTCTCAAATTAAATGTTTGAGAAGGTGCTTCAAAAGTGTTTTAAAGTGCTCGTTGGCTTTTCAAGCAGGTGCTCGCGCAGTTCCTTTGGTTTTCTGATCATCTTTTGACCGACAGTTGGTCCAAACTTCCTCCTCTTTTCTTCCCTATGGATTTTATCTATATTATTCTTTAATCTCTCTCAATTTCCATTATTTTTCTTTATTATTCCTATATCTTATTTGTACTTCAATCGAAGTCGACTTCGATTCCCGAAGTCGTTTGTTACTCCAAGAGTTATCATACTCGGAAAGAGCATCCGTGCCCGTTAAATATACCGCTATATACTTTATTCTCCCCTAACGTCGAGGCGAGGACAGCCTGTTAAGGCTGACACACGTCGTTAATTATTAACGTGCCCATGTCATCGATTAAAAATTCAGCGATGAAATATTCCGACGATAAACATTCGCGGCATTCCACCGGAAAATTTTGGAAGGTCTTACGTAACGCGACATGATGTCACGTGCGCATACATGCTACTTAATGGAATTTCGTTCGACTCGGTTCTGTCATCGATCTTTTGAAGGCTAGTGTTTGCGCTATATCCGCCGACGCTCGCGAATTAACACAGTGACTCTCGCTACCGTGGCAAGGCGCGCGTCAGTATCGTCTGCTGTAAGGATAGGTTTCAGAGCGATTTCAGCGAAGTAACAAAATCGGCCGCACGAAGTGGAGCTGATCTAATGCACTCTAACCGTGTGTACACATGTGTGGATTTGTGTGGACATGTATCTCCTTCTCTGCCTGAGTTATATGTATGTATGTGTGTTTGTATGTATGTATGTACGTATGTGTGTGTGTATGTGTGTGTGTTGTGTGTTGTGTGTGTGGGTGGGTATGTATGCACGCTCGTAGCATCGGACTTTTTGCTTAGTACAATTCGAGCCGAAGTAAAAGAAGGGTGATTGCTGCGATCTTCAAAGGCTCGTTGGATCCCGAAGAGAGATTTTTCTTTGAGACTCGAAGGTACGAAAGTCGACACGCGTGCGCGGATATGTATTTCGGAAACTGCTTCGCGAGATACGTTACATCATTGGCAAATTGCGCTTGGGCAATCAATCTTACGTTTAATCGAGTATTCTGACTCGTTTTCGGTGTAAAAGAGCCAAAAGCCGCCGGTAATGTCGGCTTGATTGATGAAAAACACTTCGTGAGAACACTTTTAGACGGAATATCGAACGAATTTCGATGTTTAATCATTTTCTTTTTTTCATCTTTTTTTATCGCGTGATGTGTCATCGCGAATAGGGCAAAGGGCTCCGCCATCGTCGGATTATAAGTACGGTGCCTTAATGCCACGGTATACTTAGCAGCATTAGCCTCTCTCGCAAATACCAAGTCAATTTACGCGTGTCGGCTCGCGCAGATTTCGTCGATAATACGTTAGCGTTAGCGAGATGCCATTAAGTGCCTTCCCACATGTACGAGCTTTGGCGAGGGAAACAACACTTGCCGCACGATTCCCACGATTCTGTGCCGCTTGATTGTGTGTTTTCTATTAACGCTTTGTAGGATTACGATACTGCCAGCGGAAGATCCCGAGACGAAGCCGAAAATGCGAAACGACGCAAGTGGCGAGACATCGTAACGAAAGACGAAACAGACGTCTGAAGCGCGATGCAAAGGCGTGGAAATTGTAAACATGTTGCAATTGCAAACGTAAAAATTGAGAAAATAACACGACGAGCGACGTCAACTTGCCACATCGAGTTACGTTTAAAGTATGATCAATCGCTTCCGAAAAGAAAATTGGCGATACAACTAATAGAGAGCCAACGAGGCGAGGTGAAAGACAGACATCTCGCGAATCTCATTTATTCAGAGAAATTCAATTGTCGGTTAAGCTTTTGTGCAATCAACGGAAATCATCAAAGTGGCGGTCGACGTGCGGACGATGGAAAATCGTGACAGGGGAAAGCAACACACATACACACACACACGATAGAGCATTAACTCGTGCGTCGTATCGAAGCGGCGAAAAGACGTGAGGAGAAATCCCGTCGACGGCACTTGCACGATTTTGTATCATCATTGTACGATTAACGCCGTTAGCTCTTGGTCGTCTTACTATTTCCGTCGCGCGATCGCCTTTTATTGTCTTTTTTCTATTTCTCGCATCTGTCGTTCGTTATCATCGGTCGAGATACCGACGACGTTTTTCCTTTATCTCTATCGAATGGGAAGAACGCGCGCTCCAATTGCAATCGTTAAACGGGAACGCGATTACGGATGACACTTCGCGATATTTTCACACCCCCGCCGTTTGTACGCGAATCGTGCTGCCGTATCGCTCTTCAGCACTGCTCGAGGAAGAGCATAGGTAGCGCTTCGTTGTTTCAATAGTAAATATATCAAACGGATCTGCAGAGAGAATCTCTTTTCAGGTTGCTCCCCTCTCGAAGTTGAGACCGAGGGACTCGGTCTCTCTTGAGGAGGAAAAGGACGAGCGACCTTTAGCCACCTCTGTTGGTCCGAATTTCCGAGTGAATCGAGATCTCGGAAGGTGGAAATTACCAGCGGGTTCACTCGCACAGATATCCGTGCTCTCTCGAGATTAATACTCGTGCCGCACTGTGTGTGAGATTGCTTTGCCACAACGCGAAATCGATGCTCGCTCCGGACTCGCTCGTATGTCCTGATAACTCGAAAGCTCGGGACTCCTTCCTTGTTTGGCTCAACTGTTGTGGCGTCGTTTACGTCGAACACTCGAATATAAGATGTCACACAGACCACCGTGATCTCGGACGCGTGAAACCCAAAAGTCTCCGGTGAACGGACGCGACGGAGAAGCTCGATGATGCACTCGGAGAAGTCTTAGAGTCTGCTAAGTTATTTCTTTCCTGCTCGAGCACTCAATAGTTGCAGCATCGTTGAACAACCGGCTTTAGTAAAAGTCTCAATATCGCTGTGACATTAAGTCGAACGAGCAAAGAGTAGAAGAGCTAAACTTAACAAGGGATGTAACAAATCAAGCATACGATGTCGATTTTTCGTCGTCTCTATCTTTCCTTTATCTTTTACCCTCTTGCGATTGGATTGTTTGTCTAACGAATTGCGAGTAAACTGTTTGTCTAACAATGAGTTTCGTTCTAACGATTTCTTAACAGCGAAATTTGCGCGGGGCTGCAGCGTATCTAACAATTTCTCTCGACTTTCCCGCAGACGTTGCATCGGACTGACTCCATGGTATCGCTTTCTTACCGATCGCTCGCGAGCTACATCACGGATGACAATCTCGCAGAACTGCAGAATTTCCTCGAGAACAAGCGAGCGCAGGTCGACGATAGAGATGAGGTAACGACGGCGCTCGCGCGGAGCGCCCGAAGGGATCTCCCAAAGAGATCTCTTCGATTGTTCTCTCTTAATCAGAAATTCCTCATATAAAATTGTGCCGTTTGTCTTCACAAGTTTCATGTAACAAGCATTGTCAGGATACCGATTCGCCGGTCGATTCGCGATTCGCATTTGCGAAAGATATATATATATTGTATAACCGAATTTTAACAACATGGTCTCTGGAGTAGAGACTCGCGCGCTTATGTCGTTGCGTAAATTTTATATACATAAAATACGCATGACTCGGGTATTTCTCGGCGAGATAAGCCAGCACATGTGAGAAGTCATAAGTCATAAGTTATATGAGGTATGACAAGTTTATCCAACAACTCGAGCTCTCTACTCACATTTGCTCTGACAAATCATTATGTTCGTGTTACGTCAGAATGGCAGCACCGCTCTCATCCTCGCAGCAACCAAGGGGAAGATACAATTCGTCCGAGTGCTCATCAATCATGGAGCGGACGTCAATGCTGAAGACGGGGTTAGTACTTTTGCCCGCAGACACACCTGAGTACATACACAAAACATGAGCGAGATAACGTGTTTGCGTGTGTCGCTTTCTTGCTTCAGGATAACTGGACGGCGTTGCTGTGCGCGGCGAGGGAAGGCCACACCGAGATCTGCCTCGAGTTGCTGGAGCACGGTGCTGATTTGGAGCATCGAGACATGGTCAGAGGAAGTTGCACATACTTTATGAGTCTGGCACGACGCCATTAATATAAATTTATCGTTCGAGTGATGCGACAAAAATTCTCACCGCATTAAGCGATCCGCGAATCTTCGTTGCTTTCTGCGGGAGATTAAGAATCGCCTTTGCAGAATATATAATTCACATTCCCATTTGCTACATGCTACATATATTATCAATTACACAGTATCTATTGTTAGTTTATAGACTTCCCCCCCCCCTTTCTGCTGAGTCGTGCGTGCGTTCCACTTTGAACGGCGAAAGACTTTACGTAATGAACGTAATACGAGTTACTTAGTTGCATGAGTGCTCTTACATAAAAATGGATACTTCCGTGTATAAATAGGACATCACGCGAAGGACTATGAATTGTCTTATTGCAGGGAGGATGGACGGCGCTCATGTGGGCGACGTATAGAGGCAGGTCGGCGACGGTGACGATGCTGCTGGCGCGAGGGGCTGACGTCAGTGCACATGGGAATTTTCATATTTCCTCGTTATTATGGGCGGCTGGCAGGGGTTATACCGATATAGTGAAAGATCTCATTGCTCACGGGGCGAAGGTCAATGTTGGCGACAAGGTGATCGTCGGCGTGTAGCCAATCGATGGCCGCCAAGCCGCTCGTGTTCGCTCTCGTAATATTTTTTTATCTTTATTTTTTTCCCAGTACGGCACTACAGCACTCGTGTGGGCCTCGCGTAAGGGAAACGTGGACATCGTGGATATCCTTCTCAAGGCCGGGGCTAACGTCGACACAGCCGGCATGGTAAGGCACATGCGAGAGTCGCTTCTGCTCGCATAATTAGCTGCATGATTATTCTTCAGGCCCCAGAGTCTTCTTCTCTGAATTTTAATAAAGCTCACTTTCACTTTTCGATATTTGTATTAATTTAAGTTTCTTCTTCCGCGCAGTATTCGTGGACGGCCTTGCTCGTGGCTTCCCTCGGTAACCATGTGGATGTAGTTTTACTACTATTGGAGCACAGACCAAACGTGAACGCTCTAGACAAAGACGGCTGCACAGCACTGGCGATAGCCTGCCGAGAGGGTTATCACGAAATAGCGAATGCGTTGTTAAATGCTGGTGCATACGTTAATATCCAGGATCGCACCGGCGCCACGAATCTGATCCACGCCGTTAAAGGCGGTCACAGAGGTGTGGTGGAGTCGTTGCTGAAGAAATACGCGGACGTTGACGTCGCCGGAAAGGTACGGTTCTGACTCGTCTTCCCCTTACTCGCGTATCTTCCTCGAAGATCGACGTGGAAAAAGAAATGGAAAAAAAATGAACTGAATGAGAGCATCGTCTCTTTCGCCGATTTCTCGCAATGTGATTTCCGAAAATGTATGCGTTCGGTCGTGTCGTAAGTGTCGTAAGATAACGACCGACCGGCCGTCCGATTTCCAGTCGTTTGCAGCCTGTATTCCGTGCGGAATACACGCGAGCGTTCCTCGAGTAAATCGTTCGAATCGGTCACGCTTTCCATAAGAGACGAATCTCTCGGATCCGGCCGTATCGTGACTTCCACACCCGGACGGGTTACCGGTTTACAGGCGGTTGCCGGATCCGCATTTGCGAATTGATACCGTGTGGTACTCGTGAGAGAGCCACTTCGAGCTAGGTTCGTGCGTGATATCTCACCCGCACTGGTTACCGAGTCGCTCCAGTCGTAACTAACCACCCCACCGTATATATTTTAGGATAAAAAAACCGCAACTTACATAGCAGTAGAGAAAGGCAATATACAGATACTCAAATTATTACTAAACGCTAACCCAGACCTGGAGATTGCCACGAAAGACGGCGACACGCCTTTACTGCGGGCGGTGAGGGTGCGTAACGCCGATATCGTGCAATTGCTTTTAGACAAGAAAGCCAAGGTCTCGGCTACGGACAAGAAGGGCGACACTGCACTGCATATCGCGATGCGCGCTCAATCGAAAGCGATCGTCGAGATACTACTGAGGAACCCAAAGAATAGCCAGTTATTGTACCGTCCGAACAGACAAGGCGAGACCCCCTACAGCATCGACTTCAATCATCCCAAGACGATACTTGGACAGATATTCGGTGCTCGTAAGTCGATCCACCTTCACTGTTAACCTGTCCTTGTCCTGCGACGTATATGAAGCGAAGGATATGAGCAGCGTGACGCAACACCTTTAACACGTCATGTAATCGAGTTCAATCTACTTTGTAGGCCGTTTAAATACTAACGAGGATAGTGAGAACATGCTCGGTTACGACCTGTATAGCAGCGCGCTGGCAGATATTCTCAGTGAACCGTCGCTCTCGACGCCAATGACTGTCGGCCTTTACGCGAAGTGGGGTTCTGGCAAATCGTTCTTGCTAAACAAACTTAGAGGTACCGACAAATGGCTGTTTACGAGTTCTACGGGTTATTCCAGAGGCATTGCATCTCTCTCAAGGCTAACGACTCTTCAACGGAAAAGATATTAATTACGTTAATCTTGACTATGATCTAAATATTTTTCATTTGGAAGTAGTTTTATTCGTTGAATTTACTCGGAGAATTTCTGACGAAGTTGCGAGGTTCTCTGGAGTAGCCGTCTCTGTCCAAATTGTGTGGTGATGTTCAGCATTGTATCTGTTCCGCAGAGGAAATGAAGAATTTCGCGCGGCAGTGGATTGATCCAGTGTTCCAATTCTCTTCCCTGCTGTTTTTAGTAATAATTCACATATCCTTACTAGTGACAGTCACCATAGGCCTCACCCTACAGTCATGGGTCATCGGCATCTTATGCGGCATAAGCCTGATAATTATCGTTTATTTCTTCCTGATTCTCGTGTGGTACGCCAACAAGAGGTAAGGACCGAGGATCGTTTGCGCAGGTGAGCGATGAAAGTTTCTCTCTCACTTATCAGGAACGCATCTTTGACCGCAGGTACGATTGGTACTGGCCGTATAATCTGACAGTGGCGCTCACCACAAAATTGAACGCCCTGAAGCTACTGCTGCAAGTGATCTTTTGTCATCCACCGGGCGGTCAGTGTCGTCACGACGGCATAGCAGTACAGCCGATCAAGTTTTACTTCACCGATCAAACTCGCGTGGGCACAACCGCTGCTGGCGAGAATGCGATCGTGCAAATGATCGGTTCGTTGTATGACAGTATCGAAAATGACTTTGGTTCCTTATCTACCAGATTATACAGAGCATTCCGGCCGAAACCCGACAAGTCGTCCACCACGTGGAGGTGGAGACGCTTGTGTTGCTTGCCATACATAGTAATATTCGAATTCTGCTTCTGCAGTTTGTTGCTCGGCATCTCGGTGCTCACGATTTACCTCATGGACATCTCGAACGACCAGTGAGCTTTTGTGCACATCTATTAAATATGGTACTGTTTGTTGGATATATCGCACCGCTCGTCTTCTGACGTGTTGCGTCCTGTGTTTTAGAGTTAGGATGGATCGATTCACCTCACACATCATCATGATTACAATCGGCTTAGTCTTGGGCGTCAGTGTTGTAGCTAATCTGTACACATGGAGTAGAACGATGCAAGCGCTGGTATTTTCGCAAAGGAGACACCTCCAACGTAACATCTCTAGATTGGAGACTCTGAAGAGCGAAGGTTTCACTCAGAGTCTGAAAGGCGAAGTTAAGCTGATGACGGAAATGGTAAGTCGAAGCATCGTCTGTCAATAACCACATGTAGCTTTATCAGCGATGCGTCTTCTAATCATAATCCCGAACAGGTTAAGTGCTTGGATAGCTTCATGGCGCAACAAAGCAGACTGGTTATAATAGTGGACGGCTTGGACAGCTGCGAGCAGGATAAAGTCTTGCTAGTATTAGATGCCATACAGACTTTACTCAGCGATAACGGATATCCCTTCGTCGTGATACTAGCGATTGATCCACACATCATAGTTAAGGTAAGCAGCCAAACATTTGCAATATTTCGCTTTTTCAATAACGTTTATCGCACAACATTACACATGCATTTACAGGCAGTAGAGATAAACAGCAGAAGACTGTTTTCGGAGTCGAATATCGGCGGCCACGATTACTTGCGGAACATGGTTCATCTTCCGTTTTACCTGCAAAACAGCGGCCTACGGAAAGTGAAGGTGGCGCAGCAGACCGCACAGCATTGCAAAAAGACCGCGTGGTCGGAGGCCGAAGAGAGTGTCAATTACACCGCTACCAGCACCATGCATCATTCGGTGTCTAGTCGAAGACTCAGCACGGAATCGGCGATCATGAATAGCAACGAAAAGCTGAAACCTCAGACAAGAAAGGGCAGTAGGAAGTTGCGGCTGAGCGAGTCAATCGCGAGCAGTATAGGCAGCAATTTAAATCGCTTAGGCGGTGCACAAGATCTCAACAAGATGCTGCTCACTGACGATTACTTCAGCGACGTGAACCCACGTAGCATGAGAAGATTAATGAACGTTGTTTATGTGACCGGTAATACGCAGTTGTGTACGAGAATCATATCGTGAAATCCTTGTCGACATATAACGTTCGTCTTTCCTTTTCAGGTCGTTTACTTAAAGCATTCCAGATTGATTTCAATTGGTATCATTTGGCCAGTTGGATTAACATTACTGAGCAGTGGCCTTTCAGGACATCTTGGCTTATTCTTTACTACGACATGTATGAAGACAGCTTGGACGACAACATGTCGTTGAAAAGTCTGTACGATAAGTACGTAGGTTTGATCTCCGCGTTGTCTCGCGTTCTTTCTCGTGCGACTCTGCTTTTACGTCTAAATTTGTATTCTTCAGGGTGCGACCGCAAATCCCAGTGCTGAAGGAAGTCCAACCACTTCTAGAAATGGACAGAGACGAACGAAAGCTGGACGTCTTCCTCACCTTTCATCGTGCCAGACTGCTCGTCAGTGATATGAAGATATTCTTGCCTTTCACCATCAACCTAGACCCATATATCAAGAAAAAGATAAAAGAGGAGCAGCAGAGTATAGAGGAAGACGCGAACGTAAACTTTTACAAAACAGGCGTCGTTCCTCACGGTCACAGCACCCAGGTGGATCAAAGAGCCCCGGCCAAAATCCCGATGAATCGATACTCGAGAGTTCAGAGACAATCGAGCTTGCAAGGATCAGTGCCACCAACTCCATCGTGGGCATTCCAACCCAGCTTCGAATGGCATGCACCCTGGCTGCACTCTATACCGCCTATGGAGCCGCCACCGAAACCTCATCCAGCAATAACTACGTTACCTGTACGTGATGAATTTCGTATGAACACCAGCTTGTGATAAAATCTTATCGTTTCGTTTTTGTCTTTTTCAGTCCGAGATTACGGAGGTGCCGCTTTCGTCCTTGTCGGTGAACGGGGTCTGTGAACTGATCGATAAAATCGACAATATAAATCCGGCTCAAATTCCGACGTATAAGCACATCGTTAAGGAAAGTAATATCAGCGGTCGAGTTCTACTGCACTGTGATCTACACGAGCTGAAAAAGGTCATTTTTGCAACGTTGCTGCCCTCTATATACTAAAAAAAAAGAAAGTAATCAGGACATGTTTAAGCATTGATAAGTACTGGCATTTCTTGTAGGTGTTTAAAATGGCTTTCGGTGATTGGGAAATATTCCGTATGGTGCTCATGACGCTCAGGGAGATGGAACTCTCGTCGTTTACGATATGTGATGAAACTTCAAGAAGCGTTCGATTTACTGTAGGACCTGAACAAGCTGCACGGAAGGGTACGCTCGACGTTTCTCTCTCGTTTCCTCTCTCACTCAAATTCTCACTCGAATTCAATTCAACATCTTATCCCAATCTTTTGTAGATCATGCTCTGCAAAACAATTCGATACGTCCAAATGCTCACACGGAGAAAGAAAAGGGAACGTCGAGGACAGACGGACCATCCCGCCGAGATCAGAACAAACAGTCTATCATGGAGAAACAGGTATGCTATTATTAAGTATGTGATGAAATTAACATAATCTTAAATTTATTCACCGATCTCTTCGTAGCCAAGCAAACGTTGCAAACATTAATATTATAATTCTCATTTGTTTGCATTCGTGCTCAATATTAGTTCCAGGTAAGTCGATTCTGCGATCACCTCGATACTCCAAGATCTTTTTGGTTTTGAATTTTGCAGTACGAGATATCATTCTAAAAGCAATGCTGAAATCTGCTGAAGTGCATGTACACGTTTCAGGTAACGTTAGAAGAACAAATGATTTGCGGTGCGCTGCAGACCTTGAACGAGGAAGCCTGCGAGGATGTGTTAGATGTGCCATTGCCAGCAGTGGCACCAACAGACTCACTTTCAGGTGAGCCCACTTCCCTACCACTTACAGTGCCTCTGGTCATAGTTCAAGAAGCACCGCAGGCAACCTTCGAAAACAGTGACACCTACATCGAGTACAGTTCTAATGTATAATCGAATCAGATCACGGATGCACGATTATGATGTATACTCCGCTAAATAGAGGCTACTCATCCTCACGTTTCATATGTCGCGAGTAAAAAACGAAAAGAGTATCATTTTCCTGCGTAACTTTGTCGCTCTGCACTCGCGTCATATATATATTTTATATAAACATATTATTATATTATAACATAATATAATAATATATATATAATATATTATAACATTACGTCATTGCCAATTCGTAACACTGAAAACACGATAAAGAGAGAAAAAAATTTTTGAAGATCGAATGTATCGCGCCATATTCGATATTTTTTTTTTCTTTTTTTAACGACGATATATATTGTACATTTGCACATTCGCTTGACTCGCAGAACACTACCTGACAGTACAACTGACAAAAGATGAACAGATACAACGGCAGTCAATAAATCAATGCGATGTTTATATAAGTATATTGTCCGTACGATTTGTAAGTTACGGAGATGAAAGGCTCCATCCATTGAAGCAAATTCCTCGAGCAGTATGTACGTCTGATGTATACATCCTCTTGAAGTTTTCACGAAATGTGCCAATGCGAATGATAATTACGCATGTCGCGCAAACAAGGGACTCAGAAAACGAAGGCCATTTGATAATGATACTAAATAAGATTAGGAATATAATTGTATGCGTAATCTTAGAATTAGTATAATATAATGCTCATTTTATATATTACTTTAACATTTTTATTCTCTCTTTCCCTCTCCCTTTCTCTCTTTCTCTCTTTTTTTAACAGATAACGGTGCCATTCTGAGAGAAAGAGGAGAAAAGAATTGCGTTATGGAATTCTAAAAATTGTATCTTTATTGTGTTATTTATACATTAGTTAGCTATTTTAGAGGGGATCTTCGTTAAACAATAATCTACTAGACATTTATTGCATTTGTAAGCGTACACGATAGGAAGAAAAGAAAAAAAAAAGAGGGGAGAAAAAAAATGTACCGAAGGCACTACTATTCTTAGAAATGACTTAAATGTTGGATGAATTTTCCGCGAAGGATATGTGTATGAAAGAGACTGTGATAAAAGTTGTTTGTTGTTACGTACTTAAATAGGACGAATATCACTTGTGCGATGTTTAACGCTGTCGACGGTGACGACGAAACACGGCAGATCCGTTATATTTTTAAAACGATTTCTCTCTGCTGATGTAACGAGGTAATAGTACCGGATGAAATTGAAGGATATTGCGCCCTGCTATTCCGAATCACGTATTTACTGTACTACATGTACGCTACGAATATTACTATACAGATTGTTAGCGCTATGTTAACCAGCGGTATTGTGTTACGAGAGCAAGTGGCAAAATAAAATCTTCTTGCAAACTGACATCTGACATTACCTTCTTTGCAGTTGTATCTGGCAGCGTTCAGTTAGATGATTTTCATTATAATCAAAGCGTGTCAGTGACAGAAGAGTTAATAAAAATCGGAGAGTCGTGAGAGAGAAGGAACCGAGAGAGAAGTAACTTTCTTCATTTCCATTCACAATTCGGGAGAGACTCGTGCACTCTCACACGGGAGATCTCATCTTCGCGGTCTGTCTGTCGGGGGAAGAATTTGTCCGCTTAAAAATTTATTTCTCCTCGCACGCTCTCGTGTCGATTTTGCTTTTTCGCGCAAAAATATATGATAAGAAGTGTACATTTTAACAGAATAATCACAGTCTTACACAAAGCAAATGCTACAATGAATTTCTGTTCTAGGATCTGCCGCCACCACAATCCCGGACACGGAGTACGTGTTGCTTCAGGCTAGTCCGCTCTACCACTGGATGCCGGTGAGCGACGAGCCGGGCAGTTCGGACGACAGCTCGCACGACTCCACGGTGTTCCTACAGCGCACCAGCTCGCAGCGCAGCATCACGTCTCAACGTAGCACAAAATCCACCTGCTCGCACAAGCAGCCCTTGAAGAGGACCGGCAGTAACCTCAGCACCAGACCGTCTTCGCTCTTTGTCTCGCCACCGCCGTCGCCGAAACCTGCCTTCCGCTCCAAGTCAACTGACGACAGATATATGGGTAACAATATACCACTGAAGATCACGTCGTTGTCATCATCGGTGCCTGCAAAGAAGAAACGTTCGACTTCGACCTCAACGGCGAACGACGAGGTCGTGATATCGATGCAGGTCCCTACTTCTAGTCTGGAGAAACTGTCGAAGCTGAGGGACCGCTTGATCGGTAGTAATGTGCAGGGCTCGCCGGCACCCGGTGGCGAGAGCGACGACGAGTCCACGCCCTTGGTATCCGAGTTATCCACACCGACGCACTCCCAGTCGGACAGCGTGTTCAGGCACGATTGTAGCGCGGAGAACAGCAGCTCGCCGTCGTCCAACAGGAGCTTACCGCGGGACGGCGAACGCTGCTGCATAGAGGTAGACTATTCGGACACCGTGGGCCTGGTGATCCTGGAGTCATTATCCAGCGGTGCGCGACCGCGAAGTCGGCATGAACCAACCGACGACCATTGGGACAATCCGGAAACGCCCGTCTGATATTTAATGCTATCGTCAGCGGGTGAATGCTTGACGGAAAGTGCGACACTGCATTCCACAAGGTACGGAAATCCGTAAAAGAGGAAGAGAAAGTCGAGGAGGGACAAGAAGAACATAACGGAGGCGGAGAAATGGGGGGCAGAGAAGACGTCGAGGACGAAGAGAAGGAGAAAAGACAAAGAAGAAGAGAAAACCATCGAACACTTTACTACGCAATAACTGTTGATGCACAATACGTCGTTCGACTGATACGTCGTATACAAGTCTGAAAGTGTGACTCGAGGCATCTGTCATTACGAAAAGGCCTGTGTGTGCGTGCACGTTTTGAATAATATATCGCGATAACGTATCAGTTCTTCGTGTAAATAGCGGAGAGACAGAGCGTGGAGCGGCGTTTACTTTTAGATAAAACGTTAATGAACGTGTTCATCCGCTTAGAGAATTGACATAGGCCTCGTCGCGACGAGGAGACTAAGAAAATGCCTTTTACGCGTGAGTTGCGTTGTGCAATAGTCTCGAATTAGCCAAACGAGATGTACGAAGTGACATTCCGTGTAAATAGCGATGCATTTACGGATGCGCAAACGTTTGCTTCTTTTTACTAACGTACGAACGTAACGAGGCGTGGGTACTAAAATACGCGCAGTAAACGCGAAGGATCCCTCGCTGATGTATATAGCACGCGTACCGGGATATCCAGTAATCGATTTCGCGTCAATTCATAATGCCAGTGCAAATAGGTGACTTAAAGAGAAAATGACGAGCGAATGCTGAAGTATTTTGAAGAAAAAAAATACTCGCACGCGAGACTAATATACATGTACGTATATATATATATATATATAAATTACGCGACTGTTGATTAGATTGATACATTTAGTATAATCTATAGGGAAAAAATTCCATTCACCGATATAATTCTATGAAATAAAAATGTAGAATGTTATAAATTTCTCTCCGAACGGCCAGTTAGTCATTTATATTATTTCTCTCTCTCTCTCTCTCTCTCTCTCTCTCTCTCTCTCTCTCTCTCTCTCTGTCTCTGTCTCTGTCTCTGTCTCTGTCTCTGTCTCTGTCTCTGTCTCTGTCTCTGTCTCTGTCTCTCTCTCTCTTTCTCTCTCTCTCTCTCTCTCTCTCTCTCTCTGTCTCTCTCTGTCTGTCTGCGAGTTTCTTTTTATGGAAAATTTTGTTGGAAGCGTCACATGTTTGCAGCAGGAGCATTTAATTAAACGTGATTCATTCGTTTTCAGTATCTCTTTTCGTTAGACGATGATTAACATTTTCATCTCTCATCGGGGTCATAATGGCATCATGATGGCATCGGGAAAATCGTAGGGAATATGATCGGATTCGTATCTAACATATCGTACAATCGTTTTATTAAAATAAAAAAGCAACATATAACATCGAGTGTATTGTAAACACTTTTAGGACGGAATACATCAGGGTAACGATATAATAATTCATTACAGTGTATGGATGTAGATATATTAGCTTTGAAATTATAGTATATATGTTGTTGATTTCTTGACATTAAATACAATAAAATACTCGATCAAACAAATACGTTGCAATAATGTTAAATATTATCGTAATATACTAGATGTACAGTGTGTTTAGGCTTATTGCAAAAATGCAACATAAAATCGAACTAGTTGAAGAGGCCAGTTACTTCCTCCCTACGTTTTAACGAACAGTTTTACGTGCTAATTAAGTACGCTGATGGTCCCGCTTGCATTAAATACTACGTGAAAACATCATATCACGTCGAAGCGGCTACAGCTAGGTCGTTGTTGCGCGAAACAATGGAATGTCGCAATAATGCAGGTTGAAAAACTGAGACGTTCTGCATGACGTAACAACGACCTAACGTGCGTTGATAAGTCTAAAATCTAACTCGTATCAAAATTATGGCATATTGAAAGAAAGAAGAGTATATGAGTCAAAAGGAGAAAGGAACGAATTGTATATATAAAAATATATATATATATCCGGGAGAATTTTATATTCGATTAAAGTTACTCGATTAGAATTCGTTTTCAGTTTTGTATAAACACACCGATGTGTTGATCATCTTTTAAGTTGCTAAAGTAGTACGAATGGAGCACGAATTCTCCGCTCCACCCGCAAGACTGACGACGACTCATATACGTCATAATCCTCTATTTGTTCCTCAATTATTCGCAAGGATTATGATATATATGAAGACATTAACGACGAACAGAGACTTTATCTACAAATCTCAAGAACGTAGGTAGGTGTCGTTATCGTCGTGTCATCTCTCCGATATCCTCGTCCGTAGCCACATCCAATTAACCGTAATTAATGAATCTACATCGTCGATAAAAGTGTTCTCAAAAGTTTCGATCAGATCTACATACATAACGATTATTCATCTAAATCTCGCAACACAAGCGGTATAATATATTATATCGCATAACGCGCGGAATGTGTAATACTTATATCTTTAATCAGTCACAGCGAACACGGCATTTTCCCTTGTTCCATTTTTTGTTTTCTGATATATTCGTGTAAACGAATTTGCATATTTGTCTATCTCATGTCAAATTGAAGGCACACAATGGCTGGATAGTAGCACAAAAATGCTAGCTCATAAGGGCCCGATGTACAAACACTTATTTATTTATTTTCGTTTATTGTCGAGACATGAGCAATATATATATATATATATATAGTTGCCTCGCGATCAACACGCAGACCCGCTCGTCTCAGCTGTACTCGCAGTTTTCTTGAGAACCGATTCGAGCGCACGTCTATCTTATACACATAAAAGACGCGAGTGCGAATCGTGGAGAGAAAGCTGGCTAAGACGAAGAGATTTCGGCATGTGTACTTATAATACATATTGGCAGGTTGTAAGGACACTTGTTTCCACCGACACGTAAGCTTAAGACAAACGCATCGTACAATTAAAGAGAACGTGGTGCTACAGATAGACTAAACTTTATTTATAATCTGCTTAGCGCGAATCTGCATAACGAGCTATGCAGAAGAGCAGAGAGAAGAGATAGAAAGCAAGAATGATAGAACGTTATACCAATTGCGACAATTTACAATAATACGATAACGTCGTACACTCCCGAATGACGCTTTATCCCCGCTTTTACACTTGAGTACTTGAGTCCGGGAATCTTTCTGTGAGAAAATATTTTTGTAGACGAGCAGTATGCACTTGCGTATGCACCGACGTTACGCATTTTCTGTGTGTGATAAGCGCGTCGAAATAGAAAAGACACACAGGTAGTCTCTGAGGAACACCAGAGTAACCATATACCAACGTCGGTCTTACTACCTTAGGTCTGTTGCTTCCAGCTCAACTAGTTTGCACTTTTTACCCTGTTAAAGCAAGGCAAATAAACGTAATCGAACATTGAAGAGAAAAGAAAGCAAGTTCTAGTACAGCACTAGTTGAACTAAAAAAAAAAACAGACCTCTTGTAGCACGTTTTGTGGTACGCGGGTGCATGTATATACATACATATGTACATGTAGTGTGTATCCGACGCATCCTTTATGTGTGTGTGTGTGTGTGTGTGTGTGTGTATGTTTAATAAATATTTTATAATTGTGTAGTAATCACCGTCTTCCTCGTGACGACCGTATGCTTGGTAGGCGTTTGATCGGGTGCGGGACTCTGCAGCAAGTCCTCCACCAGCCAGGGACTGATATCCGACGCCGCCGGGCTCTCGTCCTGTGAAAGAATCTTCGTCAGTACTATGCCGAATAAATAATAGCGTTGTAATTCTCGGGCTTTGCTCTGGACGCACGTCTGTTGTTCAAGCTGGTCATTTGACGCCGTTCTTATAGAAGTGTCACGTGTAACACTGAATACGTTTGCGTGACAGCCTAAAACCGATTCATGCCCGTTCCTGTTAACGTCGATTGAACTGTAATCTAAGTTTAAGCTCCCCTTCGTATCGGGTTTGAACTCGGATTAAGGCTTCATCGACATTGGTATAAACGGGCATTAGCAACATCCACACAGACACCGTGATCCACATTTACATGATCAACGTAAAATCGATCTGACCATCCTCGATGTTGTAACTACTAGTGTTACTTATCGGTACAGTTACAACATAATTGTTCACACAATATGCAACATACTAATATTACAGCGTTACAACAATGGGAATTACCAAATTGATTTTACGCTGTTTTAGATAAACGTAGACTACTACGGGATGTTCCTAGAATTCAGGCGTTCGCTACGCGTCCAGATATCAGCCTTGATCACTCGCACAATTGCAACATCTATTTAATCAAAAGTTAACTAATGGCTCAAGCAATAAATAAATTCAAGCGACACCAAGGACTACTCGTTATTGACATGTGCGTGGACAGATTTACATCGGGCTTTCACCGATAACGAGCAGCTCGCTTCTGGTGTAGTGAACTCTCTCGTCACTTTTCTCCAGCGACAATTAATGAGCGCCCAACGACAGGAGACAAGATGGCATTCTGGCAGGCGATTTCCTCGCTTATCGGTGAAATCAAGCGTCGTCGTTCAAGAAAACGGCTCGTTTTCACAGCTGGCCCGCAAGCGTAAGAAACACGACTGACCTTGTGCGTGAGCGTCGTGGTGGTCGTCTGTATCTCCTCCGTTTTGACGACTCGCGCTCCGGCTGCTGCCTTTTCCGGCTCCGCCGCTTCGACCTTTCTCTCGGTCGCGACCGGTTGTTGCAGATCCTTGAATGGATTGAGTATACCTAGGAATGGATTCGAGTCGATAAACGGATTCGTATTCTTTTGTTTGTCGTCCTCCGGCTTAGCCTCCTCCTCGGTAGTCTCGGTCGCGTTGTTGGGGCTGCTGTCGCTGCCGGTGTCGTTGGTGAACGGGTTGAAGGGATTCTGTGACTGATTCGACACCTTCGGGCTCAGTGGCGTGGTTTTCTGCTCGATCTGGCCCCAGCTGTCCAGCGAAAAATGCGTCACAGTCACGGTGTCGTCCGTAGTTGGGCTCACCGCGGTCGTAGCTCCGCTCACGGAGAGGGTGAGCTTGTCTCCGCCCTGTCCGACGTGGAAAGCGAGAAAGCAAACACGTTATAGTAGCTGAGCAGCTGGCGGTACAAGCGGACACGGTAAAATTGTGTGGACACAAACAGCAACGAAGAGACAACCGGACGATAAAATTTTACTCAACAAGACGCTACATATGTGTGACTAATGAAAATGTCTTGTTCCAAAGGTGGACACGCATTGTCCCGAAAACTCAAAATTTCGATATTCAGAAGGTGGGACAGTTATCCAAAAAATCACAATACTGAAGTTCTGATATCGAGATACTTTTCCCGAAGTATATAATCCTTCCTAGAACGAACTTTTATTATACCTTGAAAACTATTTATTCTCTTCTAATACATTCAATTGTACAAGGAAATTTCAATATTTTTATGAAATTCTACTTTAAAAGATTGTTTCGGTATTACGACTTTTCAAAGAACTTTTTTCGGAGGACGACGCACGTCCTCCGCTCCAGATATCGCGTGAATGTGACATGTAATAATATGGGTGTAGAAAATATTGCATAGGTGTAAATTTAAAACGAAGGACAAGACGACAAACACATATGTAATCGTGCGAATCGTGAGAAGCATGCTATAAACGCAAAATGAATAATGAAAGAATCGAGAAGCGAGGAATCATGGGACGATAAAAAAACCTTTGTCGACGGCTTACCACGGAAACAATTGTCGCTGCGTCCGAATGCTGATTTTTTTTCGCGATGATGCCAGGCGCGTCCGTCGAGGTGATGGAGATCAGATTTGAGTTTTTGCCCTGCTCGAGAGTCGCCTTCAGTATGTTACACTTGAGTGACTCCGGCGGGATCGGAGTTCGAGGCGGCAACGTCGACGTTCCGCCCACTTGATTGTTTGGTACTAACTGCACTTGATTGGTGATAGTCTCCACGGTCAAGCTCGTCTTCGTAGGTTCCGACTCTTTCTCGCTGCTGGCCACCGTGGTCTGATTTCTCGCCTCCAGAGGCTGTTGGTCTTTGGCGAGGGACTTCAGCAGTGAGTCCACCAAGGGCGAAGAAGTACCTTGGACACTCGAGTCCGAGGACTTTGTGCTGCATCGACTTGGTTGTCGCTGCAGAGGCTCTTCTTCAGCTAAACAAGTTTTATTTTCTACATTCCTTACCCAGCGTCAAGCAGCTGACGGCGCAAACTTCAAAATCGCAACGAAGAGTCCAACTTGAAAGTACATTCTTTGACGATAAGGTAAACTCACCTGGAGGCGGGGTGGGTTGCGTCTGCTCGACCTGTTGACGCTGCCGCTCGCGAAGAACATGACTCTGCCGGCGCGCATACCTCTGACTCGGTCGTCGCTCGAACTGTACAGTGCGACGTGCCCGGTTCAGCTGTGTCGTCTGAAACTCGGTCTTGCCGCTGTAGCGGAAACGCGAGCCCATGCGGAAGAAGTTCTGACGACCACTGGCACCCTTGACCGGTGCACGTAGACGGAAGAAAGCGTGATGTTCGACCGCGCACTTCCATAGGTGCTTGCATGCCTTTTCGTTCACTAGCCTGAACACGAAAGTGTGCTCTTGCTCGCCCCTGCCTTCGTCATCTTCTTCGACTACTACCAACGTCAATTTCTTCTTCTTGAAATCTAAACGACCGATCTTGGGCCAGAAGAACAGACCGATCTTCTGCGTGCCCTCGAAGACCAAGATACCAGTAGGAGTCAAGCCCAACGAGTACTCGCAAGCGTCCTTGCCGAGCACCGTGTGCATGTCCACCCCATACATGTCCAGCCACTTGGCCTTGCTGAGATATGTGGATTCCGCCTGCGCCGGACTGAGGCCTGAGTACTTGGTGTATTCCTCCAATATCTCCAGTTCCATCTGCTCTGTTTGTCCAGGCACAAAGCGGAATTCCGAGACTGTCGCCGCGGTATGCATAGCAGCATCGTAATCTCCCAATTCAGCTAAAGGCACGGGTAATACACTTTTCAATATACAAAATAGACATCCACTGAGCAACAAATGCCAGGTGAGAATTGTAACTATATCTTTAATAGATGCAGCCTGAAAATACTCACATTGTAGTGCCAGAGCAGCTAATTGAACCGCAACTTGATGTGGACAATGAAGTCTACCTTCCAAAACATCCTGCTTTAACTGCAGGAAGAATTGATAACGCGTCAATTCTTCACGCAGTGTGTTTGGTTCCGAAGAATAGAACTTTACTTTGAGTCTGAGTGTATATGGTGGACCAACTGAACAGCAAACAAAACTATTAGTCTAATACTTTTGTGTATATGTATAACAATTTTGTAGGAATCTTATAAGAAATTCAATAATAATAAGTATTAATACATACTTTTTACTTGCTTCTTGATGGGTTTTGTAGGATCTAACCAATGTTGAACATTATTACTGTCTGTATACTGTAGTCCAAAGTAATCTTTCTCTATTAAATCTAAGCTATAAAATACTTGTTCATATAAATCACTGGCCAGTGCTTTTTTCTGTAAAAATCAACAGTTATGAAGCATTATATACAGAGAGAAATTATACATGAATATGAAATAGCTCTTGCTATGACTCTTGTTGTAAATTACAAATTTTACAGCAGAGCTCATAATCACAATGAAGATTATATATTTAACTTTGTATAAAACAAAATATTTTATTGTTAATGGAATAGATGTTATAATACTGTTTTCAAATATCATAGAAGATTAGGAAGCAGACTCAGTTAGTAAACTTGTCGGTCAACTTACTGACAGCTCTATAGGTAAATCTGTGCCATCCAACAGCACCACCCTACATTGCACTACATTTTTATTACTGGGTAATCTCTGATTTTTTATTTGCGATGAGGTTTGACCGCTGACGCTACGCGCCCTTCGTCGTGATAGAAATCTCAGCATGATGTCCCTTCGCACTTCGTGCTCGGTAGAAGGCGCGATCGCCGATCATCGACCTGTTTTCTATCTTTCAGATTACAGGGCTACTTTTTCTCTTCTCCTTATCTCTCTTTCTATCCCTTTCACTGATATTTAAATTCCACTGTTAGTAAAAAATTCTGATATTTTCATCATTTTCGGTTTTCCTGCGGATATCTTTGAAAATTATTGAGAATCGTCGCTACATGTTATTGTTACCTATCGATCCCGTCCTTTGCTTCGATCCGCCCACTCTCTCCTCGCAGCAAGACGAACTAACGACAAACCAACCGATCATTGACCACTGACAACAACATGAACAGGAAAACTACTCGTCGATGAGACAGCGCCCATTCAGCGTCGCTATATTCTCCGCTCGACCCGATTACGCAGGACTGTCGAACTACAGCTGCGACGATTCATCCGACTGACGCCTGAAACTACGACAGCGAATATACAACTTTCCGAGGAATAACGGATACTTTTGCGCCAAGCCGTCAGACGGCGAACCGGAATGTCCAGTGATTGTACCTTCCTCTCTTCCTTCAATATCTAGCCACGAGGACCAGGAATGGCCAAGTGTTGTCCCAGTGTCATTCTCAACGAATTCAGCTATAGAATTTACGTTCCCCCTCTACATATGCCTACACTTTCTGCACTCGCCGAGATTTAGTTACATATCAAATTATTTATCAATAAAGCAAAAACCGTCTTTTTCGTTTCGATGCTCATAAAAGATGAACAAATTAATATACGCTATTCGACAAGATAGAAAATTTGAAGTTTTTTATATTTTTAACAAAAGTAAATTTTTGATATAGAAATACTAAAAAATTAAATTTGTTTAGTCGCCAATACTTCTTTAATTGAACACATTTTAGTAATAAACAATAGTAACATTATGCATTTAATATACTTGAAAAGTAGAGGCTTTAAGCTTTAAAATACTTTGTGAACCGTCTCGCTGTCATTATTTTTATCGAAATTATAGTCCGTTGAATTTTGCCAATTTTTCGTAGTAAATAGAACTTTGACTTGCCATTGAGTAGGACTACTTCAAGAATAAGGCTCTATGGTTTACTTTATTGTTGAGTCGTACTACTACTTCGATGTGTACGGTAGCGACTCGTAGCGGAGACTCAAGAACTAATCGATGAAAATAACGGGTCTAATAATCACTTCGTATCCGATGTATTCGAGTCTCGCTTAGTTTCTATATTGAAAATTTAGTTTTGTTAAAAATACAAAAAACTTTAAATTTTCTATTCATTTTCTGACAAACTATGTGTATTAATTTGTTGATCTTTTATGAGTATTAAAATGAAAAAGATATTTTTTACTTTATTGATAAATAACCACGAAAAAAAGTTCAAACTGCAATTCACGTATATGCTAATTAAAGGAGAAATTTTGCACTTTTAAATAAATTTTCGTAGCATATATTTTTCTTACTAGTCTTACAGGAAGTTAAACTGAAAAGAACAAACTTATGCGATGCGGGATATGTTTTAAATCAATAATTCTCTATCAGTCGTATATAGTTTTACGGGATTACTTTAATTAGTTGTACTGACATTAATTACATGTATATAAGGGTAATATTCTTTTCTGATACTTATCTAGACATATATTTATAGCAATTGCATTAAATAATACATTTTATAAATGGAATCGATTGCTGTCAATGAGGCTAAAATAATACTGAGTATAATTTAAAGGTTATGCAAAATGAAAATTGTAATGAATACTACCATTCACTAAGAGTCGTATGAACGCGACAAAAACGATCGAGATAATAGAAGATATGGACAGTTTGGATGATAAACTGTTTAACAATGCTTTTAAGAGATCCTTAGAGGATGGCAGGAAAAGAATTACATTTGCAGGTTCAATTTATAATGTATTGATTAATATATGCTTTCAAGTATATGAGAAGATATAAATATATCTAATGGCATATTTGTTCCTTTCATAGATGAGGATGATCCTTTAACTGATTTATTAGCAGATAAAGATGATTTTCCATCAGGCCAAAAAAATACAGTAGCAGCAAAAGACAAACGGAATATTATAGATAATTTATTTGATGTTAAAGTTTCTAATGAATCATTATTAAATTCAAAACCAGGTGAGGAGAGAATAGCTTGATGTTTATGGTACATTTAACAGATCTGCACAAATAAATTAAACAAAGATTATTCCATTGCGAAGAATATATCCAGTATCTTACAAAGGAGATAGATAGTTGTAAAGAATATATCTAGTATTACTGATATCTTACAAAGTTAATTCTGAGAAAAATTTTTGTAAAAGTATGCAGGAAAGGAAATCAATTGTCAAAGATTTTACAGGGAGTGATAAGTTAAAAGCAGCAGGTGATAAGTCGAAAAAGTTATCACTCATACAAGATCTATTTGGTGATACGATACATACATCTCCTTCAAAGGAATCAGTTGCCAGTAAAAAGTTGCCACAGCCAGAACAAGAAGTATCAGTCACTGATGTTCCTAAGTCACAGTCCCAATTTTCAACATATGCGCCGACGGCTTTCGGAACGAGGGAACCTCGCAGAGGCAAGAGAAGTTCGGAGATAATTAATGATCCTCTAGGATTATTATCTCTGAGCACAGCATCGAGCCAGACTCAGCAATCTGTTAGTTGTAGCAATCTGTTGAACTGTAAATTGACCACACTCTTCAGTGATTTATGATTTATGCTATTTAATTTTCTCTCTAATTTTAAAGACAATAGAAAGGAATACAGTGTCCGCGGATTCAGTTAGACGAAAATCAGAGACTAAGGAATATTTACCGGAATGGTTGGAAATTAAGAAATCGTCGGAAGATAAGAGCGTTGATTATACTCAGGATAGAGTAACACCCATTGAAGAATTATATAGCAGACATACAAAATCTAGCTCTGATAAAATTGCTCAAGGGGTAAATGATATTATTGATGTATAATAAAGAGATGGTTTTATTTTAAGTTATATTTAATATACACACATATTTAAGTTGTATACCATGGAATTTGGAAGTTACGTCTTTTATCTTTTCTTTTATTTTCATTTAATAAAAAATCTAGAATTACAAATGCACAATTAATCATAGGGTTGCAATTTTAAAGTTATAAATGCTCAATTGCTCATAAAATAGGATATATAATAATACAAAAGAAATAATGCGCAGGTGATGAAAGTACAAGAGAAAGAATCGAAACTGTCCGAATCATTGCCACGGGAAAAAGGACAATTAATAAAATCATCGAACAATCAAGAAGAAATCAATGAACAAGAGAAACAAAAAGTTTCAATTGAAGAAGATCAGAGAATTCTCAGGGTGGGCTACTTTTTATTAAGAAAAAATCATGCACAAGTAATTTTTATGGTAAAATATTGAATGTTTATATTTAATTTTATGATTCAGACCAATACAGCGATTATTTCAACGAGTTCTAATGTGAGCAAAAATCCGATAGACGATAATTTAAATCGCAAAGAATCAGGCTATAAGAATATAATTCAGAAATTAGAATTGGAAAAATCCCACTTGTCGGTAACAATACACAGTTTAAATGAAAAATATGAAAATGAAATAATGATCCTAGATGAATCATATAAGTAAGTAGTTATAGAATTGAATGTTAGAGTATGAGCAATTGTTTTAAAAACTATTTACATTGTTTTTCCGTAGACGACAAATTGGATTTCTGCAAGAGAGAACTGATACATTGGAAAAGAGAATGCAACAGGAACTGGAATATTTAGAAACAGATTATGAAGCAAAGATCGAAAAATTAAAAAACGAGAAAATACAAATTGAAACTTTCTACAAGGAAGAATTACAAAATTTGAAAGTATGCAATTTTTTAATATTCTTCGTTAATAACAGATCGTAGATGATTATTCTGTGAGGTCAATTACTATACTAACTATAATTAAATTAAATTATATATGATATAATTTAATTTAATCATATATGATATTATATTAAATATATAGAACATTCAAACCACTCATTAGACAACTATGTTTCTCGAAATTATTAACTGCTACTAATTAGTCAATTAATGTCGATTTCAATTATAATTAGCTATTTTGTTTTAGAAGGAACATGCGCAATTTATAGAAGAAATTTACGAGCGACACTCTCAAAATATAAGACTGCTGCAAAAAGAACATTTTGATACGATAGAAAATATATTAAAAATGAGAGAAGTTGAGAAATTAGCTATGACGACAATAGCGACCCACAAGACTGATCTGCAGAATTTGTTGCAAAAAGCTGATTTTATTATAGAGAATATAAGAAACGTGCAAGAAAAGACTGACCAAAGAGATGACCAAAGCATAAAATTAAGGGAACACCACTTAAAGAACCAAGAAGAAGATGTACAAAGTATGTTAATGTGTAATTTTTGAACGAGTAATTTAATATGACTTGTAAATTTTACTCACTTTGTGTAATGTTACTGCAGTACGAAATGTAGAAATGAAGAAGCAACATGAGCTATTGGAGCAGGAACGTGAAAGGATGATGAAGGTAGTGGACAGATTGGACTCACATGTTGTGCAGCTGGTACTCGAATTAGAGAAGAAAAGCATTATGCTTAACGAAGCACTGGAAACATTAAAAAAGAGAGAACAGTTTCTGTCGCATGAAAAAGAAGTATTCGAGGAAAAAGTACAATGGGAACGTAATCATTTACAGGTAACTCAATTCGGCATATAACTTGGAATTTTAACATTTATAATGAATGATATATTCTTGATGATATTTTTTAAATGTTTTTATATGAATATATTTTATATCGATCAGGTGTTAAAAGAATCTTGGTTTAATGAACAAGAAAAAGAATTGAGAACTTTGACAAAAGAGAAAGAGGTGATTGCAGCTAAGAAGAGACAGTATGAAGTTCTAAGGACAATTAAAGCTAACTCTGATGGTATTTCGAAGATAGAGGTAAATTAAAAAGGTAAATTTCCGATACATAGTACATAATGCTACTATATAAGATAAATTGTGTATCAGTTAGCTGCTGCTATAAAAGCAGCTCAAGATACTACTATGCTCGCTAATCAAGAACGATTGAAGTGGCATGAAAAGATCAAAGATCTCGAGACACAGCAGCAGAATTTGCAAGAGAAGGAATATCGTCTCTTAGCACGCGCGCAAGACCTCGAAAATTTTACACAGGTAATAATGATAAGTCCTACAATTGTATCTCGGGAAGGAGTGTTTATTAATGATTAAATCGTCATTCAGGTAGCATTCACAAAGAACGAAGAAGCTGTCAAGGCGTTGAAGGAAGCTCGTCAAATCGAAAACGAGCACAAGACCAAATTCGATACGCATTTTAGTGTGTTAGCACATCGGCAAGATACAACTGCACAAAAAATCCATCTAGCGAGGTGAGTACATAACGCAATACATAAACTTTTGTGAAATAAGCTAATATATTTATATTTATGAATTTTTTTAGCGAGAGATTGGCTCTAAAAACTGCAAAAGCAGAAAAATTAGAGAGAAATACAAACATAAATATGCCATATAATTATGGATATGCAAATGCAGATAAGCAAGCATTGTCTAGTCAACAAAGTGCTCTTCAACTCACTACTCATTTTAGAGTAAGGCAGCAATCATGAAATCACTTAAAAGTATTTATTAAAAAGTATTCATACGTAGTTGTATGTATATAATAATATATAATGATTTCAGGAAGTTGTAGATCCTCAGTTAGTAATGTTGAAGTTAAATCTAGAAGATAAACTAGATAATGTTCAATATATGACTGCCATGAAATTTTAATAACGTGTAATACATATTGAGTGAAAAAGGTAATAATGTGTATATTTGCTACAATAAACATTGATCTATATATTATTTTATAGCTAACTCATTATCCATTGATTTATTTGACTCATCATTTGTGGTCAAGTCCATGGCCTCCTCTGTAAATATCATTATATAATACATAAATATAACACTTTCTATAACAATCAGAAGGGAAGTTTTTTATTACTTTTTGCTTCACAATATGTGTAACATGTGTATACACACATGTTATAAAATTCACAAAACTCTGTTAAAAGTATAAAATATTACCACTATTATTACTGCTATTATTATTTGGAATCTGAAGTAGAGATAAGTCTTTCTTCAATATTTCCAGCTGCATAATATGATGCCTTGTTTGATATAGTTTATTTCCTACATCTTCTGTACATGTTGTCTAACAAGAAATTGAAAGATATATTCATAATCACATTGACATAATCCAAGTGCATATGAACAATCTGATTTCCAGTATTTACCAACAATTCAATCATCTCTGAATAATTCATATTTTTTTTAATATTATCCAAAGTTTCACAAGTGGATTCTATACTATTCAGAAATTTAATGACTTCAGCAAACATTGTTTTCACATCTCTGTGAAAAAAATTGATCAAATCAAAATTATGCATTTGTTAAAGAAAAATGAGAAAAAAATTCTTATATACTGTATATCTTTATGTGGTACGGGCAAGCCTGTTTTGACCATGGAATGTACAATTTTATGTATAGTACGTCTATGAGATGCAAGTACATTCAGTTGCTTTAAAATATTATTTTTCGACTCTTTCGTTTGCCCTATAAACAATTTGACAATATCAATAATCATGTTAATATTTAATTATGACAAAATAGATATCTAAAGCAATATCCTGAGCAATTTTGATAGTATATAATAGTATAATTAGAAAATAGCAATATAACAGAATAATATTTACTTTTCAGGTCTCGTAATTCTTTTGTTATTTTCCTATACTCGTCACTTTTCTTGTCAAGTTCTTCTAATTTCTGTTGATTACTGAGTCTCTTCTGCTGTGCAATCTCTATGAAATGTTCCAAGTTCTCCATGTTGGTGGAATAGTGCAGAAGAAAGAAAGGTAAAAATTCCGTTCAACAAGCCTAATCTATCTATTAATAACATATTTTCCTTAACAAGTATTTAAAACCCTTTGCACTATATTTGAATAACTTTTCAAAGTAAAACGATTGCATACTATATGAAAAACAGCATATGAAACCTAAATTTTATTCCGATCCCTAGTTCTTATCAGAGAGGAACCAGAGAGGAAGCTGAAAGCGGCCAACACGGCGTTTTCGGCGACACCGATTTTTCGCACTGGAAATGGGCGCCATCTGCATCCATTTTGAGAGGAGAACTACGATGCTACATCCACTTTTAGGTCTTGGTGGTAAAATCTGCATGTGGTGGAAGTCCGTGTTACATCCACTATCAGGCGGTTTATGTCCGTGCTGCAACCATATCTACTATCTCTATGCCAGACTATGCCCGAAGGTCTAAAAAAAGCGGGGGGGGGGGAGCAGGAAAAATAAAAGTACATATTAAATATTAAATCCTCTATATACATGTTGCCGTATCAAAGTCTCCTGTATAATAAACGATTTGATACGTCTGGAGACGCATAATGTATCGTTGCCCGCGTCCCGTTCCCTTCGTCCTGCTTCTCTCAGCATCCTGTCCGTTCCGGACATTCGCTCGTGGCCGGACTGACAGTGGCCCGTGGCCGTCGGTGAACATTCGATTCGCTCGGAGAAGCACGTGTTAATTAACGTGACGAGACTCCGATTATAAATATCCCGCGAGTCGACGAAATATCTGAACTTTTAAAAAAGGCATCAAAGAAAATCAGGTTGATGTTGTCATGGGTGAAGTCTCACCCTGGTATATATTTTTTTATTTTCGAAATAAAACAAGCCAAACGAATGCAATTAAATGTTATTTATCATCATTGAATATTAAATGAAAAGTAGAAGAGTTATTGTCCGCAGCGGGATAATTTAACATTTAATAAGAACGAGACAAAATTCACATGGGATGAAATTCCACTCTTTAACTCTACTATGACCTTTAATTATTCTCTGAAAACGGCGTCACAACAACTTTGACGCACTGTACAATTAGTTGCTAACACATTTTCTAATCGTACACATTCCTCTTTAATTAACATAAAGCTAACAAATGTCCGATGCTTCGACAGAGTAATTTTCTTTATTTTCAGTAATAAATAAATAAAGCAAAATCAATATCGCGTACACTTGAAAGGCCTCCTCGCATTCCCCTCGTTGTCCCGGAACCTTCGAGAAAAGAAAAGATGCCCAAGGGCAAGTCTCTTTTGCTTCAACCGAGGCCCGCAATGTTTACATCGCGCCGATTGTGTTGATCGGCTCGCGAGCGACGACACTTTTTGCCCTTCGTTTGACGAATTTTCCGGGAATAAGAAGTCGGAATTTCGCGCTCGTCATTCACAATCCGTCATCATCCGACTAATAATCATAGACACTTTATGAATCTGCAATTACTCTCGTATATATAATAATAATAAATTCTAATTATAATATTATGCAATTATAATAAAATGTACTTGTAAATTCTCTTTATACATATACGGTATAATGTTTTATTTAAGTTTATATATTATATAATAAATATAATAAATAATATAATAAATAAACAATATAATAAGTAAATTATAAACTTTCATTATAGAATATATTGTAATAAAAAAGCTGTCATATATGTATTAAACAAATTTTAGTTCGATATAATTTTTGGTGCAGCCGCGCCAAAATTTTTTGTATGTAATATTTTTTATTGCATTGTTATAATAATAATTTGTTACAATAACAAGTAAAATAACCATATAACTCAGTGTTCTAATAAATAATGATAAAGTTTACTTGTAAAAATTTATGTTATGGATATTTTTTATAGCTAGGTTTTCTTGAATATTTTGAATAACATAACCTTTAAAAAGATATTTTTTTTTAAATATTGGACACTATTAACAAACGTGTTAAATTTTTATAACACGATATAATTTTTATTTTTAAAAGTTTATGTACATATATTATAAAGACTTATGTTATGTACATAATATATATTTTAAAAAAGAAAATAATTTGAATTTGAGATTTCTAAAAATATTAAGTTAAGTATACAATAATCATATATATATGTTAGATTTCTCAGTTGGCGCTACTGTTCTGATATATCACTTCTTTTGTACAGTAGAAAAGTGTTGCAGAGTTTTATTATAGTTATAAGTTTTACTTGTAAAAACTTATGTACACATATATACAATAAATAAAATCATTTGAGTTTGATGCTTCTAAAAACAACACAATACGTGTTGCGCTTATACTTGGCGCCTTTTTTTTACCTTTTTGTTTAAAAAGGTAAGTTTTATATAATATTAAATATACATACGTTTCACGTATAACGTGATTGACTTGGAGTACTCTGTGCCCACGCGTGTTATTCATAGCGACGCATTCATACTTTCCTTGATCTGTTACATCGGATTCGATAATCTGCAAGGCATCTGAAACATAAAATGTGATATTCTCGAACAGCGTTCCTCTCAGGATTTTCTTGTCCAAAGAAAGATCAATGATGCGATCGCAGATCTCGTGTATCTCATGTCAATAGAGATAGTTTGAATTCGGCGTAATATGATTCTTGGAACAGACGTAAACAAGTATTGTGAAGTATGAAGCGAGTTTCTCACAGGCATGCTTTGAAAACACGAGTTGTTTTCATTTTCAGCTAACGGACGACGCAGACATCAACACTGATCGGTAAGGTCAACGACTGGTGGGGGGTAACTGTGCCTTCCCGATTGTTTGTTTTCGTACGCTTATATATGACTCCGTGATTGCGGAAAGGACATTGCGCCTCGAGCCGACGAACGACGCGCATACCGCGACGCAGAGTACGAGTGTCGGTAGTCGTATCGCGGTTAATACGCGTTTCTTTGAAATCTTACTTGCGCGAGTGTTAGAGCTAGAGTCAGTGTCGTCGTCAGTGCTACGATGGAGTATCCGGGGGTGCTGCGACGGAGTAAGCAGAAGGAGGACGTCGGATCGAGAAGTCAGCATGGAGAGAGGTCTTGGAGCGCGCCGAGAGACGTGGACAGCGATACATCATGTATGGTATTCGAGGTATCTCGACTCATTATTATTACGCAGGATTTTTCTGATTTTAACGGACCTTACTCGAAGTAAGGACATACCCGAGTCGAAATTAGATCAACATTCATAGTTTATCATCTGAAAAAAATGATAAAATAGCTTGAGATTTGATTATTTGTTAACCTAACTTCACGTAACATGAGTTCTACTTTTCTTTTCTCATAAAATATGAATGTCTATTTAAGCAAGGTTGCTAAGGCAAGCTAAGGTTTATGAATACAAATTTTTAATTATGTTCTCAATAAAAAGTTGCACATAATTTAGAAAACTATGAATAATGATCTTACAATCTGATATAAATTTTACAAGTGTTGATTTTTATTCGTCTAATAATGCTCAGATTGCTGTTTTCGTTTAGAATCTGCTAGAATGTCCGTTTCTCATTCTTGTTTATTTTTCTTATTGTACCGAATCTGAATTAAAATCTCTATTAGTGAAACAGCATTATTAGACATAACCGTTGTCTTTGCCTTTGCAGCTTCAGCTCTTTTAAGAGCTACAATTCTCATCATTCTTATTAGAAAAAAGAGAAGAAAAAAAGAAAAAAGAACTTTAAGAATGATGAGAATAAAAAGTGTTTTTCATCTCCCATTTCCTCTAATTCTTATATGATTATTTAATCCTTATATATTTATCTCACACGCAGTTTTAACAAAGGCAGTTCTATTTACGTTTTTATCTTTGTTCTTTTTCTTGCGCTGTTAAGCGAATATATAATCAACCTCAATAAAAATTGCTCATTTATTAATTAAGAATATAAGGATTAAGTACATATACATTATCGATATAAACGAGTATTAAATAACTGCGGAATACGTCGCTGTTGAAGACTCATCATGGGCGAGACTGCGAGAGTAGCCAGATGTATAACGTTCAGGTAGGACAAAGCATGTTCACTATTGCGCATCTAGATATTTTGCATTGATTTTTCAAATTGGATGCAATTTGCAAGATTAATGTAGAATTAATATTTCGACTCGGGAAAGACTTTTTTTTACCAAATCCTAACTTCTAGAAGTAAGTAGCTGAAAAATGAGAACGAATTGTCATTGCACTTGGACAATCTTCTGACACTGATTTATGATATTGATCGATATTCGATTTTCGGTACTGATTTACTCATTCATTTCTCTACAAGAAAAAAAAATGGATACGACTCGTTCATTTATCCGCGTTAATTTGATGAATAAATTAAATATTGATCGGTTTTCAATTTTCGGTACTGATTTATTCTCTCATTTCTTTATAAGACAAAAAATTGATATGAATCATTCGTTTATTCGAGTTAATTTGTTGAGTAAATTAGAGGGATAAATACCTTAAAAATGAGAACAAATTGTCATTATATTTGGACAATTTTCTGACACTGATTTACGGCATTGATCGATATTCGATTTTCGGTACTGATTTACTCTTTCATTTCTCTATAAGAAAAGAAAAGTATACGAATCGTTCATTTATCCGCGTTAACTTGATGAATAAATTAAATGTTGATCGGTCTTCAATTTTCGGTACTGACTGATTCTCTAATTTCTTTATAAGAGAATAAAAATTGATACGAATCGTTCTTTTATCCGACTTAATTTATTGAGTAAATTAGTGGGGTAAGTACCTGCAAGATGAAAACAACTTGTCATTGCACTTGGACAATTTTCTTGACATTGATTTATGGTATTGATCAGTCTTCGGTTTTCGGTACTAATCTACTTTCTCATTTTATTATAAGACAATTTATTATAAGACAAAAAAATTGATACGAATCGTTCTTTTATCGGAGTTAATTTGATAAATAAATTAAATATTGATCGGTCTTCAATTTTCGGTACTGACTGATTCTCTAATTTCTTTATAAGAGAATAAATATTGATACGAATCTTTCTTTTATCCGACTTAATTTGTTGAATAAATTAGTGGGGTAAGTATCTGCAAGATGAAAACAACTTGTCATTGCACTTAGACAATTTTCTAACGCTCATTTATAGTATTAATCAATATCCGGTTTTCGATACTGATTTAGTCTTTGATTTCTCTATAAAAGAAAAAAGATTGATACAAATTGTTCATTTATCCGCGTTAATTTGATGAAAGAATTAGATATTGAAC